TTACCTTATAATTACAAAAACAGAGGTCGGAAGCGGTTTACTGTATTGTCCAGGGTTGCTCAGTAAGTGGCAGAACAAAAACTAACCTAGATATTCTGCATTCAAGTTCAGTGCTATTGTATAATAAATATTTGGCTCTTTATAACATAAGGCTTAGTAAACATTTTTGTATGATAGTAGTTGAAAGATCTCCTTGGGAATTCTGAATACAATTGAAACTCAAAAAATTAAGATGGAAGTCTTTGGTCTTAATTAGTTCATGTTTGTACTTTCATATCAATGCAAGTTTTTAAATATGTGTATATTAACTGGAGGTAACTATTCTGGTTCTAGAAGGAGTAATGAATCTGGCTTCTCAGACCAAATTTTAATGAGAGCAGATAAAAACAACCTAAGGTTAATTGTTATGGTTTGGAGTGGTGGATGGGGTGGGGGGTGTCTTGTTATCTTGGATCACTCACTGCCTGATCAATCCTGGAATCAGGCAGCCAAATAATATTATAGCTGAAAGAACCTTAAAGGTTATATAACTCAGTATTTTCATTTTGCAGATGGCACCCTGAGAGGGTAAATAACATACCCATTGTCACACAGAGTCAATTGAACTAGAATCAAGGTCTGCCAATTCCTAGGCTAGTACTCCATCTGTTATAGTACAGTTGGTGCTCAGAAAAACAGGTGACATGCCAATAGAACTAACAAAAGAAGTAACTTAAAACTTTCGTACATATAAGGTTAAAGTTTAATTCTGACTGTTCTTTTGGAGGCAGACACACTACAATTCATTTTGAAGCAGGATATTGCTGTGCTCTTGAAGAGCAATACAGTACCAACTTCTCAATCAATTGCTTTGTTGCTGTCTGTAGTCATCTTGACTCTTCTTTGGCTGTTGATTATCTGGTTTGGGAATTCATCAGACTCTGCTTTTATTTTTACGCCGTTCTGCTGTTAACATGTTGGGTAATTCACTGCTCATTAGACTATCAGTCAGAGGAGTCAAAGAACGGAGGTCACACCTAAGTTTATTCATTTTTTAGATAACTATTAGTTCTGTTTCTTCCATTTCCAGAAAATGGAAGTAGAGAAAATGGAAATTAAGTTTCATGGATGTTAATTTGCCATTGTTATTCTTATATAGCAACTACTTCTAGTTTTTGTTTAAAACCTTACTCTACATGTTCTTTAACATGTTCCGATAGAAATTTGAAATATAACAAGAACAGTACAAACTGTATAGCCCTGTTGTGAGAGTTAAACAAGGTTCAATATATTAGAGATATTCATAGTTCATAAACCAGAAAGTTTAATATAAAATACATAAGATATTATCATCCTCATTTTTCTTACTAGGAAACTGGAGTTTGTGATTCTTCTCTCGGTTTATTGAGGCTTACCACAGGCTCCACATAGCATCCCACTCTGTCAAAGACACTTGTAGTACAAAAGGATCTGGGTCATAAGGGCCAGGCAGAGCAGCTTGCACCACAGCCTGCACTACCTGAAAGTCTTCCTTACACTGGACTGCATGCACAGTTGGCAGCCATGTGGATTGTGAATGCTGAACCTACAAGTACTAAGTGTTGACGAATGTGGCTGTAAGAGCTTGTAATATTTAGATGTATGTACCATTGAGTTGAATGAGCTTCTACTAAAGCACACTTCTCTTAATTTTTATTACCAGGTAATCTTGGCCGGGTGGACCAGGTCTCTGAATTTGAGTATGATCTATTCATTAGGCCGGATACCTGTAATCCACGATTCCGAGTTTGGTTCAACTTTACTGTTGAAAATGTGAAAGAATCACAGGTGAGGGAAATAGTGGATGTCTTCAGAGTGGTTTTGGTAAGAAGAATATGCTTTTTTTTTCCTTTTAAACATATCAAAATAATGACTGTATTTGGAATATATTTTTGTATATCTACAACAATGATATAGTTTGTTTCAAGATACAGAGAAATAGGTTCAGTATGCTGACTTTTGTTGTCTGATGGTTATTAAATAATACAAATATTTATCTGAGAATAAAGCATTCTTTACTGATTGAAGTATTAGCATGGCTTCCTTGAGGGACAGGGTTACTTCAAGGAAACAATGGAAGTGACTTGCTTGTATGTTTATGTAGGGTACTGTTCTCTATTATCTCTTCTCTATAAAGACCTGTGAGAAACGCTTTTCTTTTCCTGTACAACAGGATGTGTATATCTTTAGAACAATGTGATTCTTGTAACTGATCCTATTTTCCCTTTGCTTTGGCAGCTGGGAAACTCAGACCCAACTTTACAGCCCTCTCCAGTGATTTTGGAAAACTTTTTTGTTTGCATTTCTGTGTACTAACTCTTCTTTTATAGCTTAAGTATCCCTTATCCAAAATGCTGGGACCAGAAGTGCAATTTTCAAATTTTTTAGATTTTGGAATATTTACGTATACATAATGAGATATCTTGTGGATAGGACCCAAGTATAAACATGAAATTAATTTATAGTTCATATACTCTTCATACACATAACCTGAGGTAATTTTATACAATATTTTTAATAGTTTCGTACATGAAAAAATTATTTTCCAAATGTGGCATCATGTTGTCACTTAAAAAGTCTTGTATTTTGGAGCACTGTGGATTTTGGATTTTGGGATTAGGGGTGCTCCCTTGCATTTATAATGTATCAATCTGCTTTTAAACATGATTTCTTCAACTACATTCTCTAACAGTGCACAGTGGGTTTTTTTTTTTGGTTTTGTTTTGTTTTGTTTGTTTGTTTTTTTAGACAGGATCTTGCTCTGTTGCCTGGCCTGGAGTGCAGTGGTGTCACCACAGCTCACTGCAACCTCAAACTCCTTGGCTCAAGCAATCCTCTGCCTGAGCCGCTAGAGCAGCTGGGACTACAGGCATGCACCACCACACCCAGTTGATTTTTTATTGTTTGTAGAGACGGGTCTTGCTGTTGCCCAGGCTGGTCTCGAATTCTTGGCCTTAAGTGATCCTCCTTCCTTGGCCTCCCAAAGTGCCAAGATTACAGGCATGAGCCACTGTGCCCAGCCAAGTGCACGTTTTCATAATCTTTTTAAATCCTATTTTTTATGACAGAGTATTGATGAAAATAGAGCTAAATACATATGCTTTGAATAAACCTTAATAAAAATCTAATCTTAATAAATTAGTAGTTATTCTATTATATTGAGACAGCTGACCATGGAAGATTACACAAACTTTGCACACATAGTGTTGCTATGATTCTTTTAAGTATATGAAAGCACATCCCTGTAACCCAACATCTGCCTTCATACTTCACATTGACTTTTTCTAGTATATTTGGGAGAAAGTGGGGAGTTTGTTTAATTTCTCCTTCTGAGTCAATCGGTCTTGCTTTCACCTGGTTGCTTGCTTCTCTCCATTTATCTCAGCTGTAACTTGAGTCATGTGTGATGCAGTGGTCAGTGTCTGGAATTTACACAATGGTTAGTGTCTTCTATACAATGCTATTCATGGCATGCTGGCTTCAGCAAAAGGGGGATGCAGAAACAGCTACTTCACTTTACAATGCCATTGATGCAGGACTGGGTGTATGTAATGTGTACTGAAGTTTAGGGGCTAATTGGAAGAAATCAAATATAGGTGAGAGCTCTAAACAATGTTTGCTAAATATGCCTTATCTCAGAATTTTAGGACATGGGGGAGAAAAATAAAGAGTGAAACCCCACACGCAGATCCCCTTAAGGACAAAATTTAGTTCCTAGCTTTGCTTCTTGGATTTATTTACTCTCCAATGACAGAGTTCCTTTTTCAGTTTTAAATAGTAGTAATAGTCATATTCCTTCTCTCTCTTGGCTAAAGGAAAACCCTTACTTTACCTACAGGGGTTCACCTGACCCTAGGATTGTCCTTCTTGTTTGATCAAGATGATCAATAAACCTCAAAGTGTAGTTTCCAAAATCTATGTTACTAAATCTAGAGAATAAAACTCAGAGCAGGAGGCTTTGGCCACATGTCGTAGACTGAGTCTCTTGGCACTCCATATTTGGGCCCCCTATGAAGATCTCTCTGCTACTATCAGGTAAACATATACCCTCTCGTTCTGTTTTTTGTTACTGTCTCATGTTAGTAACTTTTGGTTGTCACATACACATACCATTGGAAAACAAATAATAATTCTGAAGCAGTATGGTTAATTCATATGAA